TACTTTTGTCTAGTTTGCCTTTGTAATACATTTTTCAATTTTTCACCGTAAGCACCTCCTCTGATTCGACATCGCTCCTCTAGAAACTGCTGCCTAAGTCTTGGTGTTGTTTCAATGATTTTGAGTTCAGAAGTGAACAGGATATACTTTATTTGGGCATTCACGCTATAAGGGATATGGTGTAAAATTCAATCAGTAATGGAGGGTATGGGCGGAAGTGGTGTAGTGGCAAGTGGCTTGATAACCACGCGAGCGGTCCAGGGATCAAATCTTGGGTCGTGAGTCGCCCGGGCCAACCAAGCCTTCCAGGGGTCGGTTAATTGGTACCAGACTTGTCTGGGAGGATAAAAAACACTGACTTGTACATCGGCTGGCCCCCGCAAGTCATTGTATAGGCCACATCGCATTCAAACGCCACTACGAATGTACAAATGGAAGTAGAATGCGTGCCGCATCCCAAAAAGGGATTGATCAACGGCAAATGCTTTATCCTTTATCCTGTAATAACTTTAAACCCCACTTTTTGGCCCACTTTTTCGAGCGATCGTTTCGAGGTCGTTTTGTCACTGAAATCGAAATCTTGGTCTTTGGTACAATTCATTTCGACGCACGCCACGCCCTCTGTGGGCGGGGCTCCGCTTAGCTGATGTGTGTTTTGTATTACGTGAGACCCTGCCCACCCATCCCACACTTGACCCGGTCCCTCCAGGCGGATCCCGAGGAGCTAGGGAATTTCGTGACAGACATACAGAACGACACACGACAGACGACACACGACAGACGAAGCGCTTTATAGTAAGTAGGATGGAGCTATGTATTGCCTGTTTATACAGGTCTGCGTTGCTTCATAATTATTTGAGACTTTACAAAAAACCGGAAGGAGCCGAAACTTCGACTCAGAATTCTCAAAGCACAGCAGTCTGAATCCTTTCGGCCTTTCTTTATGAGAGGGGATTAGAGTTGGCTTCTTACGGTGGGAATGAGAGTTGGGAGTACCGCTACCTCATGAAAGAGCGAAGCAGCGGATTGTTCTGATAGGCTCGGTTCGCCCATCGATAACCTCCTTCAGTCGACGTTGATTGATGAGAAGCATAATCAGCGCAGAAATCCGCTGCTTGATGAGGAACCGACGGATTTCAGTAATCTATGATGCGTGGCCTAATTGTAGCTATCAGCTACCTGGCGCTTAAATAGCTCTGCACAAGCTCACCACTTTGTATTGAGCAATTGGAAAGCCGGCACCATCCTAACATCGGGTAGGCGACAGGCTGCATTTGAAAATATGTATAGCTTGCATGAATTATGACCTCGCAAACGGCGTTTTATAGCCATAACGCCGCTATGGCTGCTATAACAGCTGAAAGCGACTCAAAATGTATCGTAGCCTTTTTTCAACACATGTTCCCCTTCGTTCATTAGAGCGTATCGACCTCATCGAAACAGATGAACCTGGAATGTTCGATGTTTCGATTGCTTCCTTACTGTTTCTCGATAGCAATTTATTAGGCATCTAGGCCTGGAACATGTCTTCCGGTTACCTTCCAGACAGTTACTTCAACAAGCTTGTTGAGAATTATCCTTGTGGTATGTTCAGATTCGGCTCGCGAAAATGACATACTCGGATTTCTTCTCTTCATCGGTTAGAATTCATGGCGTTCTCGTCTAGTTGGCTTAACTACTCGCATAATTTGTAGTCTTGCAACGCGCCCGCACTATGTGCATGCATCACGATATTTTTTTGAAACAAACCCCTTATTGAGAAAATATCCCTATTTTAATATCTGATTCCACACTTTCCACTGTAGACCACTGTCCGCAATTTGCCGTAAATAGGGCAGAATGTGACGCGAGGAGGTTGGGCGTTGCGCGCTTCAGGAAAGCGGAAGCTGTAAGGAAGTTCTTTTGCTGGGGTCTTGTTATGAAGGTCCAAATATTAGCATTGTCATCAAACTTGCCATACATAATTTTATTCACTTTTCCTTTGAAGACCGTAACTCCCAATTCTATTTGGGAATTAGTGAATCTATAAGCGTCCTGCCCGAAGGATGTAGATGAAGAGAAAGTTGTTTCACTTGTTTACCTCATATTCCTACCAAAATATGATCACCATTTAAATTTTTTCTGCTCTTGGAAGGCTTCACTTCACCCTACTTCTTCGGCCTTTCACACTCTCGTACATACTTGAAAAACTCAAAGTGGGAGAAAAGGCGTTGTACCTGAGTTCTGCCGACGTTTTCTGTTCTGCACCGTCCTCATGTTGTGAGCCAGTGCTCCTTGTGAAACTGCGCTGCGTATGAGGTTGTTGACGATGCTTCAAAAACCTTCATATCGAAAAATTCCTCTTCTTCGGGCTTCGTCGTTTGGTGATCTAGCCGGTGTCTTAAAAGGCATGCGAAGGAGACGAACCCGTCGAAATGCTGGCCTATGACGTAGTCAGCAGCTTCGTCAATGATAAGGAGTGGGCCAACCATTTGTCGAGAAATTCTCAACGAGGGAGGTCTATACATCGGATTTTTTTGGAGGGGGGAAGGAGAGCCGTTGCGGTTGTAGTTGAGAACAACGCTTTCTGGAGAAAGTTGTTATTGAGGTGGATATGGGGAGGGGCAGAGGGATCAAATGATTCTATTAAATATTTGTTGGAAAAAAGCTGGAATGTGAGGATTTGTGAAGAAGTTCGATGACAGCCGGTTTTGGGCAGACTCATTGTGGCGGAAGTGGAGTGAGTGAAGTGATGGCAAATTTTTCGGCCGGCAGGTTCAAGGGTTTTCTATGGAACTGGAAGAGGGTCATGGGATCGTATGGGATTGTGATTGGGCAGCGGATTTCTGGCCGCTGATTATGCTTCTCATCAATCAACGTCGACTGAAGGAGGTTATCGATGGGCGAACCGAGCCTATCAGAACAATCCGCTGCTTCGCTCTTTCATGAGGTAGCGGTACTCCCAACTCTCATTCCCACCGTAAGAAGCCAACTCTAATCCCCTCCATAAAGGAAGCCGAAAGGATTTCAAGACTGCTGTGCCTTTGAGAACTTCTGAGTCGAAGTTTGGGGCCCCTTCGGTTTTTGAAAATTCAAAAAATTATGAAGCAACGCAGACCTGAATTAACAGCAACATATCCATTAAAGGATAAAGCATTTGCCGTTGATCAATCCCTTTTTGGGATGCGGCACGCATTCTACTTCCATTTGTACATTCGTAGTGGCGTTTGAATGCGATGTGGCCTATACAATGACTTGCGGGGCCAGCCGATGTACAAGTCAGTGTTTTTATCCTCCCAGACAAGTCTGGTACCAATTAACCGACCCCGGAGGGATGGAAGGCTTGGTTGGCCCGGGCGACTCACGACCCAGGATTTGATCCCCGGACCGCTCGCGTGGTAAGCGTGCCACTTGCCACTACACCACTTCCGCCCATACCCTCCATTACTGATTGAATTTTACACCATATCCCTTATAGCGTGAATGCCCAAATAAAGTATATCCTGTTCACTTCTGAACTCAAATCATTGAAACAACACCAAGACTTAGGCAGCAGTTTCTAGAGAAGCGATGTCGAATCAGAGGAGGTGCTTACGGTGAAAAATTGAAAAATGTATTACAAAGGCAAACTAGACAAAAGTATGCGGAGTACGTGGTTGTGCTATTCTGCAAAGTTCTATAGTGGCTAGGATATCAAGATTGTAGGGCCAATCTATCGAAAACAAACATGTAATTAGAAAGGTATCACCTCAACACCTACTATTTACTTATCTGGACCACTATAATTTGAGAAATTCACGAATTCTCAGCGAAATTGGGCCGATGCTTCATGTGGAGAGGAGCATGCTCGGGAAAACAAGTAAAGGATAGCTCGCCGTGGTCCAAATAGGGTTTATTGGGTGCAGACGGCAATTCGTAGCCACAATGATCCGAAAATATTCACTAACAAGCGATAGGGAGGAGTAGTTGCGTAAATCTCATTTGAAAAACCGCACAACTGATGTGAATTGAGAAATCCTACCCAAACAACGTGCGTAGCAAACTTGGTTATTGTTGTCATGAAAACCACAGTAAACCTCTGTGGAAATCATCCAAGCTCTCGGTAATTGGCTGAACTCATGACCGTAACCGTGCGGTACGGTATTTGAGCCGATGACAAGTTGGTTTCACAGAGAGCGGTCGTTGGTCTTGATATGGTCACGAAGCAATGATGCACGCGAATGAAGATGTTGTGTGTGGAGAGCCAAAATGAGAGTGAAATCGATAAGAGGACAATGGCAGAATTGGCACGATCGATACGGAGGAGAGGCTGACGTGAGACGCCACACCGAGAGTGTGCCCCGGGATGGACAACATGATGGACGGACAGGCTTAAAGCGCACCAAAAGGCTG